TCCAATGCAAGCATTATAACATTGGCAAATCCCATAAAATCCATAGGCTTGAAGAGGGACTTCATGGCGCCCGCCCACCCACCCCGCCCGCGCATGCCTGGCTCTCCTTTTATGAGAAAGGTCTTGCATAAACTTTTAAGAGGCAAGCGGATTTATGGCAACCACTTAACAAAAGGCTGGATGACCATCAATCTTCTTGCCTTTGTTGCCCTTGATGTCAAGGATTAACAAGAAATTAGCTTGTCTCTCTTCCTTCTTTTGTCCTTTGTGGAGCAGCTAAAAGTTGGGCCATTGGAAGGCAAACCAGGAGGTGTGTCTACACTGCAGAATGAATGCAGTTTGGCACCACTTCTAACAGCTATGACTCCATGCAAGGAAGGTTGAAGACCTTGCAAAACTACAACGTCCAGGACTCCTAGCGTGGAGCTCATGGAGGTTAAAGTGATGCCAAGCTGCATTGTTCTATAATGAAGACGCACCCAAGGAAGGGCCGCAAAAGGCATCACAAACCCACTATCAGTAACAATGCAGATTGAGCCTACTTTAATTGCCTCGATTCAATGCTACGGGAGTTGTAGTTTGATATGGTCTTGAGCCTCAGAGCCGCCACCTTGCGGAGAGAAAAAGTGAGGCATTAATAATAATAATAATAATAATAATAATAATAATAATAATAATAATATTGTATTGTCGAACCCAATAATAATAATAATAATAATAATAATAATAATAATAATAATAATAGGTGTGGATTGGTACAATGGGTGCAATCCTGGGAGTTGTAGTTTGATATGGTCTTGAGCCTCAGAGCTGCTCCTTGCGGAGAGAAAAAGCGAGGCATAAATAATAATAATAATAATAGTTCCCAGTGGTGATTGGCACACTGGATGCAGTGCTGTGCAATCCTGGGAGTTGTAGTTTGATATGGTCTTGAGCCACAGACCCACTCCTTGTAGAGAGAAAAAGTGAGGCATAAATAAGCATAATAATAATAATAATAATAATAATAATAATAATGTTCCCAGTGGTGATTGGCACACTGGGTGCAGTGCTGTTCAATCCTGGGAGTTGTAGTTTGTTATGGTCTTGAGCTTCACGAAACTACAACTCCCAGGATTGCACAGCATTGCACTCAGTTTGCCAGTCACCACTGGAAACATTATTATTATTATTATTATTATTATTATTATTATTATTATTATTATTATTATTATTAGCTTATTTATGCCTCGCTTTTTCTTTCCACAAAGAGCGGCTCTGGAGTCCTGGGAGTTGTAGTTTATTGAGACACCAGCACTCTTTGTCAGAGAAGGCTGACAAAGAGAAGGCCTTGCAAAACTACAACTCCCAGGATTGTTGTATTGAAGGGCCTTTCTACACTCCACAACTGTAGGACTATGTTCCACTTTAACTGCTTCCACAGCATTTATATGTAAGAATGGGATTTGTAGTTTGGTAAAGAGCAACTTAGAATCCTCACCCGGAGTGCCAAAGCACATCACCAAATCCTGAGACTTGCCTTTTGTTGAGACACCAGCCCTTCGGTAGATAAAGGGGTTGTAGTTTTATGAAACCTTTCAACTTATTTGCCAAACTACAACTCCCAGGATTGCACAGCATGAAGCCATTGCAGGTAAAGTGGGGTCAATTTACATTCATTCAACAGCATAGCTGTATCCTTGAAGGCCCTTTCCACACTCCACAAATGTAGCACTATGTCTCCACTTTGACTGCTTCCACAGCATCCCATATAATCCTGGGATTTGTAGTTCGGTAAAGAGCAAGTTAGAAGCCTCACCCAGAGTGCTATAGAGCACATCATCAAATCCTGCACCAGACCTTTGGAAAAGATGGGAGTTGTAATTTTACGAGGCCTTTCACCTTCTTTGCAAAAGAGGGAAACTGCAACTCCCAGGATTGCATTTGAATGAATTTGGCAGTTAAAGTAGGATCATAAGAATGCTATGATTATAATCCGGTTTAAAGCCGATAATCTGGTATGTAGAACACTGTAGAAGGGGCTCAGGCTTCTTCTACACTGCCAAATAATCCAGTTTATAAAGGTTGGCAATTCACATTATCTGCTTGGAACTGGATTATATGAGTCTCCACTGCCAAACAATCAAGTTCAAAGCAGATAATCTAGGTTTTGTATTGTAGTGTTGAAGAGGGCGGTTTCTGAAGCTTTGAATCGGATTATCTGGCAGTGGAGACTCATATAATCCGGTTTAAAGCACATAATCCGGGATATGGAGCAGTGTGGAAGGGGGACTCAGGATCCTAGTACACTACCATATAATCCAGTTTATCAAGGCAGGCAATCCACATTATCTGCTTTGAATTGGATTATATGAGTCTACATTGCCAGATAATAAGGCTTAAAGCAGATAATCTGGGTTTTATATTGAAGTGTTGAAGGGGGCCGGATTCTGAAGCTTTGAATCGGATTATCTGGCAATGGAGACTCATATAATCCAGTTTAAGGCATATGAGTAGTGAGGAAGGGGTTGGGCTCCTTCTACACTGCCATATAATACAGTTTAACAAGGCAGGCAATCCACATTATCTGCTTTGAACTGGATTATTTGTGTCTACACTGCCAAATAATCCAGTTCAAAGCATATAATCCTGAATACAGAATAGTGTAGAATTGGATTATAGGTGTCTACACTGCCAGATAATAAGGTTCAAAGCGGATAATCTGGGTTTATGGGAGCCTGATTTCTGAAGCTTTGAATCGGATTGCCTGGCAGTGGAGACTCATATAATCTGGTTTAAAGCATATAATCTGGAATCAGATAATGGATAATAGAGAAAAATATAGCCATCCATGATCATCACCGCCTACACTGGATCTGATGCCAGATTGTCTGGCAATGTAGACACAGGCCCCGTCCACACAGAGTATCAAGGCAGATAATCCGCAATATCTACTTTGAACCCAGTTACCTGAGTCCACACTGCCTCATCACAGTCTACACTGCCCTATATCCTTGGATCTGATCCCAGATTATCTGCCAATGTAGGCACAGGGCCCTTCCATACAGAGTATCAAGGCAGATAATCCACAATATTTACTTTGAATTGGATTATCTGTGTCTACACTGCCAGGTAATAAGGTTCAAAGCAGATAATCTTGGTTTTATATTGCAGAGTTGAAGGGGCTCCGGTTTCTAAAGCCTTGAACCGGATTTCCTGGCAGTGGAGATTCATATAATCCAGTTTAAAGCATACAATCTGGAATCAGATACTGGATAATAGAAAAAAATATATATCCATGCATGATCATCACCACCTACACTGGATCTGATCCCAGATTATCTGGCAATGTAGACACAGGGCCCTTCCATACAGAGTATCAAGGCAGATAATCCGCAATATCTACTTTGAACCGGATTGTCTGAGTCCACACTGCCATATAACCCAATTCAATGTGGATGAGCCCCATATCCTTGGGTCTGATCCCAGATTATCTGGCAATATAGACACACAGAGTATCAAGGCAGATAACCCGTAATATCTACTTTGAACCGGATTATCTGAATCCACACTGCCATATAACCCAATTCAATGTGGATGTGCCCCATATCCCTGGGTCTGATCCCAGATTATCTGGCAATGTAGACACAGAGTATCAAGGCAGATAACCCGCAATATCTACTTTGAACCGGATTATCTGAGTCCACACTGCCATATAACCCAATTCAATGTGGATGTGCCCCATATCCCTGGGTCTGATCCCAGATTATCTGGCAATGTAGACACAGAGTATCAAGGCAGATAATCCGCAATATCTACTTTGAACCGGATTATCTGAGTCCACACTGCCATATAACCCAATCCAATGTGGATGTGCCCCATATCCCTGGGTCTGATCCCAGATTATCTGGCAATGTAGACACAGAGTATCAAGGCAGATAACCCGCAATATCTACTTTGAACCGGATTATCTGAGTCCACACTGCCATATAACCCAATTCAATGTGCCCCATATCCCTGGGTCTGATCCCAGATTATCTGGCAATGTAGACACAGAGTATCAAGGCAGATAATCCGCAATATCTACTTTGAACCGGATTATCTGAGTCCACACTGCCATATAACCCAATCCAATGTGGATGTGCCCCATATCCCTGGGTCTGATCCCAGATTATCTGGCAATGCAGACACACAATCAAGGCAGATAATCCGCAATATCTACTTTGAATCGGATTATATGAGTCCACACTGCCATATAACCCAATTCAATGTGCCCCATATCCCTGGGTCTGATCCCAGATTATCTGGCAATGTAGACACAGAGTATCAAGGCAGATAATCCGCAATATCTACTTTGAACCGGATTATCTGAGTCCACACTGACATATAACCCAATTCAATGTGGATGTGCCCCATATCCCTGGGTCTGATCCCAGATTATCTGGCAATGTAGACACCCAGAGTATCAAGGCAGATAATCCGCAATATCTACATTGAACCGGATTATCCGAGTCCACACTGCCATATTCAATGTGGATGTGCCCCATATCCCTGGGTCTGATCCCAGATTATCTGGCAATGTAGACACACAGAGTATCAAGGCAGATAATCCGCACTATCTACTTTGTACCGGATTATCTGAGTCCACACTGCCATATAACCCAATTCAATGTGGATGTTGTACAGATTTGTGGAAGGGGGCTCATACAATCCAAATGGGGATCAGATACTGGATTATATGGCAGTGTAGATCCAGCTAGGATCATGATCCTGATGGGATCCAATTGGGGAGAGATCCAGTGCTTTGGGGAGGAAGAGGAGGAGGAAAAGGAGGAAGAAGGGAAGGAAGGCAAGCCAACCCAACCGGCTCCTTCCCTTTTTGAGACAAAGCCCAAACTTTGCTAAAGTTTTGCTTAATGTTTTGCATGCAAATCAGAATGCATTTCTTTAATTGCATTGGGGAGAAAATGAGATTGCAAAGGAAAAAGGGGGGGGGGAGAGAAAGCCTGGGAGCTGCTCACCTTCTTCTCCTTCTCCTTCTCCTTCCTCCAGGCTCTTCCTCCTGAGTCTCCTTCTTTCTCCTCCTTCGTTTTCCCGGGTTTGCAAAGGAGCCCTCCCCCGGGAAGCCACGCCCACCCACGCCTCCAGGCCACGCCCCTCCCTCTTGGCTTTGACCCCCCCTCTCTCTTGTGGGCGGGGCTCCAGGTGGAGGTGCCTCCTGCAGGTGAGAAGGGAGGGAGAGACAGGTAGGCAGCCAGGCAGGTAGGAGGTCCTCCCTCCTCTTGGAAAAGGCATGGGCCAACTCTGGCCCTCCCTCCAGGTGTTTTGGACTGCAACTCCCACAATTCCTAACAGCCGGTAGGCTGTTAGGAATTGTGGGAGTTGTAGTCCAAAACACCTGGAGGGAGGGCCAGAGTTGGCCCATGCCTGGTCAAAGCAGAGTTCAGAAGGCACCTCTATGTACTACCTAAGGGTCCTTCCAAACCCACAATACCTGCTCTGAACTGGATTATCTGAGTCCACACTGCCATATAATCCGGATCAATTAATGCGGATTTTCCACAGCTGTGTGGAAGGGACCTAAGGCCACTTCTACACTGCTAAACAAAATCCATACTATTCTTTTTGAACTGGATTATATGGCAGTGTAGACTCATATAATCCAGTTCAAAGCCAATAATGTGGATTATCTACCTCGGTATTTTGGGTTATATGGTGGTGTAGAAGGGACTTGAGTCTTCGTTGTATTGAAGACACACAAAATCCATATTATTCTCTTTGAACTGGATTATATGGCAGTGTAGACTCATATAATCCAGTTCAAAGCCGATAATGTGGATTATCTGCCTCGATATTTTGGGTTATATGGTGGTGTAGAAGGGGCTTGAGTCTTCATTGTATTGAAGACACACAAAATCCATATTATTCTCTTTGAACTGGATTATATGGCAGTGTAGACTCATATAATCCAGTTCAAAGCCGATAATGTGGATTATCTGCCTCGATATTTTGGGTTATATGGTGGTGTAGAAGGGGCTTGAGTCTTCATTGTATTGAAGACACACAAAATCCATATTATTCTCTTTGAATTGGATTATATGGCAGTGTAGACTCACATAATCCAGTTCAAAGCCGATAACATGGAATATCTGCCTCGATATTTTGGGTTATATGGTGGTGTAGAAGGGGCTTGAGTCTTCGTTGTATTGAAGACACACAAAATCCATATTATTCTCTTTGAATTGGATTATATGGCAGTGTAGACTCACATAATCCAGTTCAAAGCCGATAACGTGGAATATCTGCCTCGATATTTTGGGTTATATGGTGGTGTAGAAGGGGCTTGAGTCTTCGTTGTATTGAAGACACACAATACCCATATTATTCTCTTTGAACTGGATTATATGGCAGTGTAGACTCCTATAATCCAGTTCAAAGCCGATAATGTGGATTATCTGCCTCGATATGTTGGGTTATATAGTAGTGTTGAAGGGGCTTGAGTCTTCGTTGTACTGAAGACACACAAAATCCATATTATTCTCTTTGAACTGGATTATATGGCAGTGGACTCATATAATCCAGTTCAAAGACGATAATGTGGATTATCTGCCTCGATATTTTGGGTTATATGGTGGTGTAGAAGGGGCTTGAGTCTTCATTGTATTGAAGACACACAAAATCCATATTATTCCTTTTGAACCAGATTATATGGCAGTGTAGACTCATATAATCCAGTTCAAAACCAATAATGTGGATTATCTGCCTCGATATTTTGGGCTATATGGTGGTGTAGAAGGGGCTTGAGTCTTCATTGTATTGAAGACACACAAAATCCATATTATTCTCTTTGAACTGGATTATATGGCAGTGTAGACTCATATAATCCAGTTCAAAGCCTATAATGTGGATTATCTGCCTCGATATTTAGGGTTATATGGTGGTGTAGAAGGTGCTTGAGTCTTCATTGTGTTGAAGACACACACACACACACACACACATTGCTTGAATATCCCAAAAGCACCAGATACCATCTCATCTTGGAAGCTAAGCAGGGTCAGCCCTAGTTAGGACTTGGATGGGAGACCACCAGGTACCACAGACTCGATTCCCTTCTACGTCACCATATAAAATTTACTTATTTGTTTATTTCAAATATTTGTACCCCACCCTTCTTAACAACCCCCCCCCCTTCCCGGGGGGGACTAAAAAAATCCATACTATTCATTTTGAGCTGGATTATATGACAGTGTAGACTCCTATAATCCAGTTCAAAGCCAATACTGTGGATTATCTGCCTCGATGTTTTGGTGGTGGTGTAGAAGGGGCTTGAGTCTAAGGCACACACACACACACACCTGGGCCTGAACATCCCAAAAGCACCCAATCCCATCTCATCTTGGAAGCTAAGCAGGGTCAGCCCTAGTTAGGACTTGGATAGGAGACTACCAAGGAATGGCAGGTGCCACAGGACCTATTCCCTTCTACACCACCATATAAAATCTGTGTTCTCAAATCATATGCTGTGTCCAGGTTGGTTCATCAGGTGCTCTGCTATGGCTGACTTCTCTGGTTGAATCTGTCTGCAGTGCCTTTCATGTTCCTGGATTCGTGTTTGGGCAATGCGGCTGCGTTTGGAGACTTGGAGACTCTCCCTATGGAGGCTTGTCCACAGCTGCATGGTATACGGTAGACTCCTGCAGAAGTGTCCTTTGCTGAACGAAGCATTTGTTGGATTTCTTGGTGGGTCTGTAGATAGTTTGTATGTTGTGTATTATTCGAGAACATAGAAATGCTGGATCACTCCAACAACCACCATGTCAGACTACATAGAGAAGCCATTGAAATCCACAAGCATGTGGACAATTTCAACAGAAAGGAAGAGACCATGAAAATGAACAAAATCTGGCTACCAGTATTAAAAAAAACTCTAAAATTAGAACAGCACAACAACAGAGAGGAAACAAAACAAGGACATCTAATCACCTCTCAACAAAAGATTCCCCCAGGCACTGCCAGGCAATCAAATGCTAATCAAGGTGCAACATACAAACAATCTACAAACCCACCAAGAAAATCCAACAAATGCTCCATTCAGCAAAGGACAAGAGGGATCCTCTCACCTCTGCAGGAGTCTACCGTGTACCACGCAGCTGTGGACAAGTTTACATAAGGACCACCAAACGCAGCATTGCCCAGACATTAATCCAGGAACACGAAAGGCACTGCAGACTACTTCAGCCAGATAAATCAGCCATAGCAGAGCACCTGATGAACCAGCCTGGACACAGCATTTTATTTGAGAACACAGAAATGCTGGACCACTCTCACAACCACCGTGTCAGACTACACAGAGAAGCCATTGAAATCCACAAGAAGCATGTGGACAATTTCAACAGAAAGGAGGAAACCATGAAAATGAACAAAATCTGGCTACCAGTATTAAAAAACTCTAAAATTACAACAGCACAACAACAGAGAGGAAACAACCAGGCACAGCTTAACACCTCTCAACAAAAAAATTTCCCAGGCTCAGCCAGGCCTTTAAATGCTAATGAAGGTGGTCAGTTGAAACATTCACACCTAGCTCCAGCAGACAAGAGTCCTTTGTCCCACCCTGGTCATTCCACGGATATAAAGGTAAAGGTAAAGGTAGTCCCCTGACATTAAGTCCAGTCATGTCTGACTCTGGGGTGTGGTGCTTCTCTCCATTTCTAAGCCGAAGAGCCAGCGTTGTCCGTAGACACCTCCAAGGTCATGTGGCCAGCATGACTGCATGGAGCATCAGTTGAAACATTCACACCTAGCTCCAGCAGACAAGAGTCCTTTGTCCCACCCTGGTCATTCCACAGATATATAAACCCTTTTTCCTAGTTCCAACAGACCTCACTACCTCTGAGGATGCTGGCCATAGATGCAGGCGAAACGTCAGGAGAGAATGCCTCTAGAACATGTCCAAAAAACCTACAACAACCCAAATAAAATAACTCTTACAGTGATGCTAGAAATTTGAGTACTGAAGCAACATTTGAAGGAAGGAAAATTAGTCCTGCATTTTGCCTTGATAAGGGGGAAAGCAGCCCTAAAAGATGACTATAGGAAGGATGAATCTGAAAGTTTGGGTCCATCTTGACCTGGATGGTGCATCTAGAAATTCAGAAGGGCCGTTTTGGGAATCCTTACCTGGCTAAATCTCCCTTTTGTTTTGGGTGATTGTGGAGGAAATTGCCCTCTGAAAGGGGTTTTTTGGATACCCATTTGAAACCCCAAGAGGCCATATACTGGTAAGGAGGTGGGAATGGAGCCAGTGAGCAAAGCAGCAAGGAGTAGCCTTAAGGAAGGCGAGGAAAAAACCATAATCATCACCCTTTTCCCCTTTTAAGTCTGCAAAAAAGAAAAGCAATTCCTCCCTATTTGGAGCCCAAAAGGATGGTGAGAATTTAGGGGTGTGGGGAGTGCAGCTTGGTGACCTTGAGCCAGCATTAAGCAAAATAAACAGGCCAGCAATGAAAGCCAAGGGTGAGAAACAGTTCCCAGAAGCAGAGAGAGGCATGGCAATCTCTCCAATTGGTCTGGCCTTGAGAGGAGCTTTCTTGCATGCATCTGTGTGGGAGGCCGAGGCCAGAAGGAGGGGGTTCCGCTCTGGAATAGGAGGTCTGTTTGGTTAGATTTGCTCAGCCCAAAAGAACTTTGCTTTGCTTGAGGAGCTCAAAAACACAAGGAGGGCTTGTCCTGCGTGCCTAAGGCACAGAGAGCCTCCTTTATCCAACAATTCCAACATCCTGAGCTTAAATATCCCCCAAAACTGCACAAACTAGACTTTGAAATCAACTCTCCCCCCCCCCTCCCCAGAATCCTAGAGTTGGAAGAGACCTCATGGGCCATCCAGTCCAACCCCATTCTGCCAAGAAGCAGGAATATTGCATTCAAAGCACCCCTGAAAGATGGCCATCCAGCCTCTGTTTAAAAGCTTCCAAAGAAGGAGCCTCCAACAATCATAGAATCATAGAGTTGGAAGAGACCTCATGGGCCATCCAGTCCAACCCCATTCTTCCAAGAAGCAGGAAAATTGCATTCAAAGCACCCCCGACAGATGGCCATCCAGCCTCTG